ATTAATGATATCTGCAATACATTAGTTGGTTCTATTTTGTTTACCCTAACGGAGTTATTGTGTTGTGATGATAGTCGTCCTGACAGAAATAATACTTATATCATTAAAAAAACACGTTAAAATGGCCAGTACAACAAATAATGGCTGACGAAACAGTGATTCGGGCAAATGTTGCACAAGAAAGCTGATCATTTTATCTACTGTATCACAGAACAGACTCTAGACATGCTCTGTAGTGATTTACTTCAAGGATTGCATGGGCTTGCAGAGGCTTTTGGCATCGCTACGTTTACACTGTCAGAAAGTGCAATGTGCTCTTTGGGAGCTGAGGGATACCTTGCTGGAGTCGCTTCTCTGCTGCTAGCTACTCAGTCTCTTCCACTCAGATCGATTTACTGTTGAAGCACAGGCCTTAAATCATAGTGCCATGGCTGTGCTGACTCCACTGCACTTCACTCCTTGACCTGGGGCGGAAAAAACTCAGCAAGAAACGAATGGCTGTCACAACATCATCTATCACCACTGCCCCCTCCATCTCAGGACACAGTCTACCCATGCAACCCCCCCAGGACTTGGGCACTGTGCTTCAGCTGCATTATATCCAAGTGCTCTCCACAGGCTTCAATAGAGCATTACATCATGAAGAGACCATGCAAGCACAAAGAAATGATTTGCAACATGTTATTAGAGCTGACATGGAGTAATGCAGTGGTGTGGAAGTCTTATCTGAAAGACAAGAGTAAGAGGTAGGCTGTTGTTGTTTGATTAATCTAAAAGGCCTCAATCTTTTTCTCAATACGTTATTCAGCCTTACATGGATTGAGCGTGAGTAAATATTGACCACATTTTTTGGGCGAACTATCCCTTTAAGGCATTTTCACTCCTGTAGATCATTTGCTTGGTTCTGAAACAGGGACTTGAAATGTTACAATTTAGCAATTTGTCCTGAGTTCGGATGGCTTTCAAACGTGTTTATGCAGGTCAAATGTGAGTAAAATGGTCCTCTAAAGGGTCAGAGTGCACTTGTTTATGTTCCTGGATTCATGGCAGTCATCCATTAAGATTACCCACACACATATACTGCATGTATGCGAATGTACCAAAGCCTTATTTTCCTTACGTAGGGCAGCATCAAAGATAGCTTTCTTTCAATGCACCTGTTTAAGAGAAAAGCAATGACTTGATGCTCTTTTATATTAAACTGCAATCCAGCTCAACTGCTGTCAAGTTATTGCTGATCAAATTAGTTAGTCAATATGTTTAAAGCAAGTTACCTAGATAATAACATATTCGTTTTAAAGTCAGCGTGTAGTGGAAGTTTCAGCCGACTTGATTTCAGTATATTGTGACATATTTCTGAGTGAAACAAAATGTCAAATTAGAAATCAATGGGCGGGGCTTAATTTTATTATGTCCTTGTCATATTCAATATAACATTTATGGCAGGCACATAAATGAGGTTTATAGCAAGTATGTTCAATGTCTAAACTTTTCATTGAGTTGAATGATAAAATGGAGTACGATTATAGGACAACGTCATGTGGCTTTCATCAATAGTGTTTTCCAGCACACTTTTGAATTGCTTAGCCTAATTCTTCAGTCATAAAAATATATGTAGTATTTCCACATGAGTGACCGATTCAATTTAGAAATGAAGGTAATTGCAAATACGCTTATGAATGACATGCAAGATGGTCCTCATTTTAATTACTTTTCAGAAGATGGATGCAGCCACATTATTTCGTAAAATTTAACATTAACATTTTGTCCTCAACCACAAATCTATCAAACCTGGCTGTCCAAACGGATAAAAAATGATTAGTTTATTGACTCAGAGACATGGCACTCAAAAGCAATATCTGGCTACATTAAAAATAGTAAAACCACTAATTGGACTAACTCAAATTAATTGCATTGAGCCATAGATTACATCCAATAGTGACAGTATATTCATCAGAAACATTCGCAGAGAAATAATTTAACATGGCAAAACAACCAGTTTATGCTTTAAGTGACCAAAAGACTAATTTCAGATTGTTCTCCCAGGATCAATGACATTTAAATATATCAGATTAACACAGATATAAATGTCTCTTGTGGTGCCTTTTGTCTTCATGCAGTAAAGGTACCAAAAATAGGATGAAGAGTACGTGAGTGCTATATTTCGTTTATGATCATTTTAGATTGTGTTATGCTATCATCTTTCTTGAGTACACCTATAAAATGTCTTAAGTACAAATTCCCAGAGGTCTCTTTGATCTCTTTTATAACAACACCATTGACATAATGTCTCCTGAGAGCACTCGGAAGCCCTGCAAAACTACTTTATTGCCATGAAGCTGGTGCCAACTTGAGGCAGAACCATGGGGTTGTTAATGTGCAAGGTTTCCTCAAACCATATTGAATCTATCAAGAGAATATCCACTACGGTCAGTTTGATTCAATTTAATCTTCAGCAGAAAAAGCCCAGAATAGCCTAGGGGTTTCTTTAGGTAAGGAAGAACAAATGAAGGATTCAAGACCGGGAGATAACGGACAGAAATCGAAAAGACAGAGAGGAAGGAAAATAATCAGCGTGAGCTCATCTTGATTGAACATAAGCCTAATGGCCTGGACTCAATTGAATGAACAATCAGACAGATCTACCTCAATGTACAAAGAGCCATCAATCTCTTTTTTAACTAGATTACAGCACCTTTTAGGGTTGGTCAGCAGGAAGGGGAGAGGACCGCTGCAGACCAAGCAGGACTATGGCATCAAGCTTTAGGATCAGCTATTGTCCGAATACATCCCCTCCCTCTTCTGTGACCCCTGTTCCTACTAATCTACTCTGCGGGATGCCATGTCTCAACTAATGAAATGGCATTAATTTGGACTAGAGCCTATCACTAAAACCAAGCACTCACAGTGATTCCTATTGATACGTTTGTCCAGTACTTAGGAGAACGCATATGGTGCCTGTATTTCTAATAGCATCGTGCTGGTTTTCTGATTCTTTTATGAGAAGTATACCCAGGCAGGTAGATTTTTAATATTGGCTAAATAATACTATAAATTACTGTAATTACATTCAGATCATTAGTTAAAGGTGTGTTTAAACTGCACTAAAATAATCCTGGTGGTGTTCACCAAGTGAATAAATCTAAATCTGCCAGTTCATTTTTAAGAGCCAATGAATGATCGCTGTGATTAAACAGAAGGAACACATTGGAGACACGGTGTCTGAGGTGCTGGCAGACTCTGACTCAGTCCATAAAACAAGACCTATAAATTAAGATTCAATTTATTCTGGGTAGAATTTATTGCTTTGGTGATTTACTAGAGCAACCTCATTTAGGATGATCACATCAGAGGGCTCCTCAGTCTAATTAAATCCGATGAAGGAGGGGGTTTCGTGCAAAAGTGTAAGCTGTCACCACACACTGCAGTTTGGTAGAGAAAGTTTACAAAAAATATAGTATATCGTCAAACCAGTTTTTTTTTTTTCAGACACAAAATATATTTTTGATATTTAAGTAGGCTAGTACTGGGGTGCCTCAGGGCTCAGTGCTTGGACCACTCATCTTCTCCATCTACATGACAGCACTAAGATCTGTGATCCAGAAACATGGCTTTTCCTATCATTGCTACGCTGATGACACACAACTCTACCTCTCATTCTAGCCTGATGATCCAATGGTATCTGCTCGTATCTCAGCCTGTCTGACTGACATTTCTGGCTGGATGAAGGAACACCACCTTCAACTAAACTTTGCAAAGACAGAACTACTTGTGATCCCCGCCAACCCAACACTTCATCACAACTTCTCCATTCAGCTAGGCTCATCATCCATAACTCCATCAAGGTCAGGAACCTTGGGGTTGTAATTGATGATCAATTGAGCTTCACAGACCACATTGCTAGAACTGCCCGGTCCAGCAGATTTGCCTTGCACAACATTAGGAAGATCAGGTCCTTCCTAACAGAGCATGCTACACAACTCCTTGTCCAAGTGCTTGTTCTATCCAGACTGGACTATTGTTATGCTCTCCTGCGGCTGGTCTTCCAGCTTCCTCTGTCAAACCTCTACAACTGATCCAGAATGCTTCAGCCAGAGTGGTCTTTAATGAGCCCGAAGAGAGCACACGTCACTCCTCTCCTCACAAAATTACACTGGTTGCCAGTTGCCACTGACGTTTGCCCACAGAACAACCACTGGCACTGCTCCCTCTTACCTAAACTCATTACTTCAGACTTATGTGCCATCCAGAAATGTGCGCTCTGCTATAGCGAATGTCATCTAGTGGTACCATCTCAAAGAGGCACAAAATTTCTTTCTCGGACCTTTACCATGACTGTTCCCTGTTGGTGGAATGATCTACCAAACTCAACCAGAGCTACTGAGTCAGTAACCACTTTCAAGAAACTGCTGAAGACGTATCTTTTTTGACAGCACTTGATCCAGTAATACTAACACTTTCCTCTTTTCTCTTCTATTCTATTATTGAAAAAAAATGTGTTAAATTAAACTGAGAGGGGTCATACACACACACACACACACACACCAATGCATTATGTAAATTAGATTGTATCATATTGTAGCCTAATTAGAAAGGACCAATGTTTGTTGCATCAACCAAAAATCATGATTCAGACACAAGCCTAATTGTACTAAGTGTTTGTATATAGCCCACTAAAACCTGCACTTAGTTCCTGTTCATGACTTTACTACTTTGCTTCAATACTTTTTCTCCCATTTACAATTTATATATTTTTAATTTATTGTTTTTTAAGTCTTTTAATTAGAAATTTCTTTATGCTGTTAATAAAATCCCATTTAATACATGGATGGACACACACACAATCACAAGCTACGTTGTTTAATTTACCACGCAAGCCAAGCTAAAATTAAAATTCTGCCACCTAAACAAAAGAGGTGGATGGCAAACTGCCCCCCTCCCCCTCGGCTTTCTCCCTTACTGTCTCATGTGCTCTGTGCCTGTCTACTCTGCAGAGTACATTCAACTCGCCCCGAATACGCTCACTGTCGAACGCCGTGACCTAACCAAACGTAACCCTAAGGGTCCTCGTTAAATAAATCTCTTTAGCTCAATCCAGAAGCGATAGAAAACGTGAGATTTCGTCGCTAATGTAAATGGCTATCACATTAACAATAGTGCGTTATCTTGGCGTGCGTTTCTCAGTGGACGCCTTCACGTCAGCTGGTGCTATAGAAGTAAAGAAGAGGTGAATCCACAGTTCTATAGGGGACCTATTTGAGCACCGGCGTCCGTGCGATTCACCGAGTCAACGTATGTTCTCCGTGCTGTTTTGAGTGTCCGTAACTTCTGTGCCGTGTACTGACATCATTGCATCATGCCTGGCAATAAATGAATCCTGATTCAGCGCTCTAACGTTACTCACATAGAATCGCGCGCGGAGAGAACTTTGCTTTGCAACTCTTGTGTGGATACGGCACGCGCCACGGCAGCGCGCGGAGGATCAACAACTTTCCTCAGAAACAGCGTTAGCGTCCTTCCTATGTCGCTTCAAACCCTTCCATGTCACCAATTGTTGTCGCTCTAATTGGACGAGCATGTTTCAGACACCATATCTGCTCAAACTCGGGGAAAACATCGTTGGTAAGCCTTGAGAAGCGGATAATAAATGACTTATATGCGCCTCAGAGTCGCGTCCTCGCCAGGTGGACTGTGAAAAGACAGAAGAGGAATGTTTATCCGAAATTCCTTGCCGCTTAGTTTGGGTTTTTTGCCGCTTTTGCTCAGTCACTGTTTTCTCTCAGTATTTCTTCCTTTATTGCAGGTAAGTTGGAATTAGCAGTTCAGTCGTTGATGATAATTCATAGTGAAGTACAATAACGAACCGTCGCGAAAATGCACGTGCATAACGGTCACAGTTTTAAGGATTATCTAACGTTAACTGTGCTGAGATTGATCATATATATATATTAGTTATTATCAATTTACGTTTAAATACGTCACATATATATTTTAAGTCATTAACCTACGACAATCAGTATGCTAAGGTTTGGGGAATGGTGTTTGAAGATTTCTCTTGAATGCACTTGTAATATTTTGATTTTAGCGTTACATTGTTGTATTTACTACTAGAATACTTTTTTATTCTACTCTCCTCTCAGTTCCAGCACTTGTTAAAGTAATGGAAATTGAACTGTTTTCTGTAGACTTGGCTTTTGGTCCTTTACTACTGTCTCCTGTGACAACAGTGCTCACAAGACTAGCAAAAGTGTTTCCAGGATGGCCTGTTAGGGGGAGGCAGTGTCAGGGTTCACCCCTCAATACTCCCACTCCTCTGGGGGTCCGAGGCTCTGCGGTGTGGGTGGGTGCTCTCTTTGAGAGACCTCAGCCTCCACACACCCTTCATTCTCCACTTTAGTGGGAGGGAGCTCCCATTCGTCAGCGTGCAGAGAGAAATAAGAGAGTGCTTGTGGTGTTCTCTGCATTGTAAATTCTAAGTACTGTTGCGAACAATCTCTTTTTGCTATGCAAGTTTTTGCTGCACTATACATGGCATGGTGATGAAAGTGACAAAAGCACTAATCTAATTTGTGCTGTTTTATTCACCCTAGTTCGCAAGAGGGGAGCTCCAGAAGTCATGCTCTCGAACCACAGTGGCACTGCTGGAAGGAAGCTGCCAGTTGCCATGCCAGTGTAGGCCCTACCCACCGTTACCACCTCCACCCCCTCCTCCACCGCCCCCAAGGCTCCTGGCTCCAACTGGTGAGTAGCTCTGCCCTGTAATTATGTTTCTGCAGTCCTGATTCATAGTTTTCAGTAACGTGAGACCTGTAGGGCTAAACATCCATAGAACTGCTGCTCAGGCCTGTTATTTTTACATATGTTTCAAGCCGTCAATATTTAGATAACCTCTCTAAAGAAGCAAAAATAAAGATACGTGAACAAACTGCAAGTTTTGTCCAAAAGGACCCGCCGTAGTATTTCAATCACTAAAAACAGCACAGAGTTCTTAAATGCTTAACATGGCTTAATTTACTAAAGGTGCAGTCACATTACCTTTGCCTGGTGAAATTTCACTGGTGAAATCCAGCGGGAGCGGGAGTTTTGTGTGCAAAAAATTCCTGATGTAGTTCCTGATCCTGATTTTCATTCATGTTCAAGTTGGTCATGCAATTTTGCTGTATGATCAATAGAAAGCTGCTTGGTTTGAAAGTGACTTCATACATCGCTAGATTCCCAAACTTTCCATGACAAGGCCCCCCAAATACCACTAGGTTCTGGCCAAGGGACCCCTTTTAGGCCCCCCATACTACCAACAATACTACAGGAAATGTAGAAATAAATAAATAAAACATCTAGGTGAACACCAGATTATGTGATGGTGTTTGATACCAGACAGTCAGGAAGATTATCCACAAGTTTCCTACGCCCCATGAGGCCTTGCGTCAAAAGTGGGCGCGACTTCCGGTTGGAAGTAAACAAAGCACGATTTGACATGCTTGACACTCGTTCATTCAACAGTTGACAGTCATTCAAGTTATAGCGATCCAAACTAGCTAACGATGTGGGAACACAACCTCAACGAAATTAAAAAAGGTGAAATAACAGTACCTTTACCCTCCGCAGTAGTTGATTGGGAGTATTATAATAACATTATTAATAATCAATACTCATCAAGGCATGGTGACAGACAGTTGTGCGAGCTGACAAACAATTAAAATAAAAAATACACACTTAGTCATTGTGCTTTGGAGTTTATTCAAAATTATAAATGAATGTGCTACTTGAATACATTAACTGGCACATTTGGTATTCTGTCAACACAGGCTTTGATCCTGAGTTTAGGTGCAACATCAGTAGAGAACAGCCAAACACATGCTGATAAAAGTTTATAGAATATTAAGAATTTAAACAAATGTAAACAGGAAGATTCGTCGTCTTTTGGGAGGTGATGGAAACTACAGTCGTTGGCAGGAACACTCTGATTTCGTTTTCAGCTTATGTTCAAAACAATCACGTTTAAGCCACTGAACTAGTTTAGTCCGGTTATACATACAACCGCGAACAGCACATGTTGTCCCTGAGCTCCGTAACGACATCTCTCATAAAGATTTGCGTCTTTAAATAGTAAAATAATTCTCCGAAAAACAGCTAGCCTCTTCGCTAACTAACACACAAAATACCATTGGAATGCTACTTCCGCCGCGTCACCGGAAGTTTCACCCACTTTATTTTTTACAGGAGCGCCCCTCGGAAACTTGTGGATATAAATGCACCGATTACAATTTTCTTGGCCGATTCAGATTTTTCATTTAGTTTGACCTGGTGTAAATGCACTTATTGATTAACATGCAAGTGAAAAGCACTGCTCGCGCTTGCAGTCTGAAACGGCAGTAATTCTCAAAGTTTCCTAAATGTGTGTTCTGTGTGCACGTGGGATGCTGATGTTGCGCGATGTTAATCATGCGGCACCTGAGTGCAATTGATATTTGTCGTGCCCGATCACGTGAAAATCTGCAAATTACTGTCACCAGTTGATCAATTGGTGCATCTCTAAAAGGTTGGCTTAGCATTAAAAGTATAATATTTAGATAGGCTATGCGACAAATTATTATAATGCTATTTAATAACGATACTCAAAAATAATAGACTTTTTTTTTTTACATTTTTCTTACAGCATGCTGCAGCGCCCCCTGCCGGCCCCCACTTTGAAAACCCCGGCAATGAACAATAGGTCTTTTTTGCCTATAAAATTGTGCCTAGATAAATTGATTAAATAGGGCTCTAGTTAACCTAGATAAATGTGTGCTATTATTTGATGCATATCCATAGTTGTGCAGAGCGTGCAGCTAAAGTATTAGCGTGCTTGCATGACATGGAGGCACTATGCAATCATTTGTGTACTTTTATTTGTGTAAACTCGCATCAACAACTAAAGCTTTTTTAAAATAAAGAAAACAAACAAAATGCGCTTTCTGCCATCTTAGTTTCCGTCAACTGGAGCTTGTCACAAAAATGAACTGCAATTTAGCGTATAGGGTACTTGCCTCACACACATGATATCTATAGAAAGCTTGAAACTTCTACTTTTAAACAAACCAAGTCGATTCGAAAACATATACTCTCTCTGATTATATAATCCGCATGAAACTTGCATTTTCTCTATACTGAGTGTCCACTATACTGAGGAGATGGTGAGTTATTAGTGTTTTCTTAGTCGGTGTCGACTGCAAAGATAAAGTTGACGATAGATTATTAAATCATTAAAATGACTTCTTGCTATTTTTTTTTTCATAATCATTACTTTTACTTGTGCACTTTGCTGCAAGCTTTACTGTATGTGTGCGCTTGAGTGTGGAATAGGCTATTATATTACACCTATATATAGCCTATTAAAGGCTCATGGTTTAGTATCCCACCCCCTCAGTATATATTTAAGTTATTAAATTAATGTAAATGTGTGATTAGTTGACCAATGGCTTGAATGTATGACTACTTGTTTTTAACCAGGGACAGCCTGTTACACAGTTTGTAAGCTCAAACCCATTTCTCTGCATCACCTCTGAAAGGTAGCTTTCTGTGTCTCTCAAATAAATCTTGCAATCTAGGATTTCCTCTAACAAGTGTGATTTTATCTCAGTTGTCATGTTGTCAGAATCTGCAGTGAGTTCAATCCCCAAAATGAATGAATTGGCTGTGGCTGCACGCTTTGCCAGAAAGACGGGCGAGTTCATTTAATCATTTTTTCTCCTTACTTTTGAAGGTAGCTTATAAGCAGTTTAATAGATTGCTCTTCTTGCTGAAACAATTTTCATTTCCTGACATTTCCCGTTTTGAGAAATGGACATGGCCGGAAGGTAGGTTGCTGGTCGCAATTGACACAAAGCTCAATCCGCTTTATTACAGGCGGAGGAAATTTTAGATTTGTCATCAGGGTTCCCTGTCAGGCGCTCAGGAAAGCTAGATCAATGAGGCCTTAGCATTGAAAGGGTTGAGAAATCAATCTGCCTCTAGAGTTTTAGCGTTCTAGTTTAAGCCTGAGTAATGCACTCTCACAACAACGGCAAGCTCTTTGGGAAAGAGAATTTTCATAAAAAAATACATTAGAATGTGCCTTGCATCGATACCTGCCTCATGCATACATGCTTGATACATCTTCAGATGTGAAGCGAACAAAATCAATATTTACCATGTCACAGACTGAAAACATAACATTAAAGTCTTTCAGGCTGAAAGACTTTAATGTTATGTTTTCAGTCGGTGACATGAAACGTTTGAGGGCGAAATGCAACATAGCTATTAACAACTGTGCCAGGGCTGAGGATTTAACTGTAAAGGCGGTTTTGATAAGTAACCAGTTGAAGGCTGGTGACAGGCTTTGCCTTTAGGGGCGAAATGACTTTAACATTAGCTTATTAAAATTATTCATGAGGAAGATGCATTTAATGAGGACTCCCACACCTGTCGTTATTGAAGCAGTGATAAAAGGTTTAAACTGAGCAATGTATTATATTTGTGCAAAAGGAAAGGCAGCTTCAGAGGGCCCGATTGCAATAAGAGGTGTTACCGCCCTAAACCTAATAGTAGGATTAAATGTCAGTTTGACTTTGACTGAATATTGGAAGAAATAAAATAACAAGATATTTTTAAATCACCATTTATCACACATCATCTTAACCAGTTAGTCCAATAATCGTCCACACTGGATAATGCAACGCTGTATTGCTCTATATTGTATTGTCTTCATAATAATCCTTCTGGAGCAGACACATACAGTAGTACTGATTGAACCCAGAATATTACCAAATTGTACACATTTTTTATCTCAAGATTAATCTGAGTCTATTTTTAACAGAACTGCTGAGGATGTAGATGAGGGGAAGTGGATAAGATGGAATTGCTCCTGGGCCCTTGTAAGAGAACACACTCTTTTAAGCCCAAAAAAGGGCATGTGTGGCCGTCAGAAACGCATGGCAAACTCAGCTAACCTTACAGAGGTGCTCAGAGACACTAGTATTGTCGTTGTGACAAAGTATAGTAGCCAAAGCCTGAAGAGTTCGTCTTCACAGGCTTTTACCTTAAGGTGTGAAGAATGTGATATTATTTTTATGGTGCTAACCTATGTGAAGATGTCAATAAGGATGTGGTGTGCAGTGGGAGTAGTGATTGCAAAAAAAGAAGTAGGATTTCCTCTTTTTTTTACATGACCTTTTATCATCTAACTTAAGGTTAATCTTTAAAAACTTGAATAATAATTACACATTTAAATGTGAATCTTTAGCAAATCTCAAATTGTACATTACAATGTTGTGATGTCTAAATTCACTTATAGCATTTAAAACAAGTGATCTTGGATTTTGTGTTTTTAGTTTATTTATTTATTCATTTATTTATTTTTTTGCAAAAAGTTGCTGTCTAAAAACAACAGAATAACAGAGAGAGCTTTGAAATGGCAAGTAGTTCTTTGCTCTTGTCAGCCGTTTTCCCTCCGGGCCTGTCGACTTGACTCCCCCTCCTGACAATCATAGTAAGGAAGAGAAAAAGCAAAGCTAATGTCTCCCTGTCTGGAGGGCTGTTTTGTCTTGCAAGTGTATCTGCCTGTTTATGCTAATTCAAAGCATGTCAACATTAGTTAAGCTTTTCAGTATCTTTGGAATTAATTAAGTGTAGCCAAATCAAAAACACATTGTGACACAAAACACAAATAAAGCGAAACAAAGTCATCTGTCTATATCTTCTCATCAGGTGAAATCACGGCTGGT